AGCTACAGTAGCTTTGTCCAGCATTTGCTCATAACTAAGTTGATTTTCTCACATTTAACAGGAACATACTGTAATGCAGTAAGTGTAAAGTCTGACACAATAAACTTAAGCTCTGACTTTCTTCACCTATTTATATTCACTATGCTTTATTTTAAGTTAATGAATAGCATCTCAAGAAAAGATCAGATGTGTATTTGTGTTCATAGTGAAGGACAGAAGTTGGTGTGTATTTGATTTTCGTTTCCATACTCTCCACAGCACATCAGAGTGAATGTCCCCACAACATTACATTAAAATAACACTCAAAGTTAGAACAAACAAAAAAGAAAATATTTAAATATGTAGTATGAATAAGACAAAAAGTGTCTTTTACAGTGTAAATGTAGGTGTTCAGGAGGTCACACACACACAACATCAGGTTATCTATAGCTAAGTAGAATGTGTGAGTGAATCTGCAGAAGACAAGAACAGCTTGAGCATCAGCCTTTCACATTTTGACTAATAATGTCCCCAGCACGCTGTGTGGAGCTGCCAATGAGCCCGTGTGTAGGAGTAGCCCTCTCACCCAACTCTGTGATTAACAATAGAGCAGTGAGAACCGGCCAAATCACTGGGTAAACGCCAGCAGCACTGCCTGCCATCTCTGAGAAATGGGGTAGGACGTGTCGACATGTCACTCTGAATGACTGACGGGCAGAGATGGCATAGAAAGTGAAGAAAGAAACCAAAGCATCAGGGGAGAAGGAAACCTTTGGGTTTTATTCATCTCCCACTTGGTTTTGCACAACAGTGTGTTGCTATCTAGCAGAGGATGATGAGGGCAAATTTGCTGATCTCGCTTGTGAGTAGTAAGAAGAGAGTGCTCACATTTGTACCTGACAAGCGGCCGTGTTGCCTCTGAGTGACTCTCCTTCCTGAGGTTAATTCATAATTCATGCCTGAGAACCAAACATAACCACTGAAATGCGTGTGAACGGGAAAAAATGTTGGCAATAATCGCAGTGTTACACAGCTAAATATGTCAGATCTTATCCTCAGGACTCTTTAGCATGATAAATATTTCACTGGACTGCAACACTGGTTTCAGAGTAAAAGAATAAGACTCGGGAGAAAACAGAATTGCCAGCCATGCTTTAGGCAGACTACACAAAACCGAAAAAAAGAAGCCTTGATTTTTATAATTTAAACTTTTCTCCACTTCCTTTGAGTTTTTACTCCTTCTTTTCTAGTGCTGTTTGCTGCCAAGCAATGCAGGCTGGCCATGTGCCACATCATAAGGCATGCTCGGGTCTTGATGAGAGTCTTAATTATTTAATGGCCACAGTGGGAGCATTCAGAATATGCCATCTGCTGTCTCTGAAAGAAACAGGGTGGCTGACTGGGTGGTATGCACACAGTAGGTGTACAAACCAATCTCACAGCTGCTATTCGTTTAATAAAATCACTGGTGATATCCTCTCCAACATGACATTCCCAAAAAGTCCATCTCCAAACATGCCTGTGATAACTACGGGGGATGTATAAGTATTAACATTGTGACAGTGAAATATCCTTCAAGCCTGTGTCAGTTATATAAGTCACTTGAAAGCACAGTGGACCATTGGTGTTAAATGAGCTGACAAGAGCCCCTGTGTTCAGCAGTTGAATGTACAGGGAGTGACACTGAGACATTTTGTCCAGGTATTAAGCTCAGGGGTCTTGGTGAATATGTTTTACACGAGATCCTAAGGGGCTGGAAGCACACTGAAC